GTAAATCTATAGTTCTACAAAAAAAGTTCCACTCGATACCGCTTTAGATGTCATGCAAAAATATTCCTTGTTTAGTTTTGGAATAAATTTATTAAATTTTAGCTGCCAATATCTGCCAATTTGAGTTTTTTAATTGTTTATCTATAACGTTGCACATTTTTACATCAAAATGATACAAATCGTTTTGCAATAGTGTGAAATTAGCTACATCTTTTAACATTCATTTTTATGCTTCATTTTATTCACTTCACACCAGTATATAATGGCTACTCATTGACATAACTGTCAAATTTCCCCTTGCATTATGTACAATAATAATCTTCCAAGCGAACAAAAAAATATAAGTCTAACTCGGTTAGAAATTTTTGACATCACGAAAAATGTCCGAAACGATTGTTGGAAAAATCAAATTCATGTTTTGGAGGAGACATGTTCACAAAAAATTGGAACACCCTTCCAAATTTCAGAAAGTAGACACGTGGAATTGAAAATTCTTTTTTCAAAATTAAACTCAAAGTGGCAAAAAAACGGACGAACATATAATGAATTTACTAAGAAAAACAAAGATTGGCTTGATGTTAGCATAAGTTTTCAAGTAAGTAAATAATAAATAAATAATATGAAAATAAAAAATAAATAATATTTTTGTAATTGAATATCCTTCAAATTTTTGATATTCTCACAATAATCAGTTATACTAACTGTGAAACAGTGACATAGATTAGAGTAAATTTATTACTTTCTAGAACTCAATTGAAATTCTTGAATGCGAAACAGAATCAACAAATAGAGAGTCGTTAGCAAAATCATCACAACTTCGCGGTCGGCATTCTGTCTCATTCTCTGATAGCAGTGATAGGAGTAAGCGAAGAAAAACTGAGAGTTTACGGTCATCGTATGGCACCGAAGAGTTAGTGTATGCAGCGCAAATGAGTTTACGCGCTTCTGGCGCCCCGCAAGCATCACATATTTTAAAAGATGTGACTTCTTCATCTCCATCGAAGGCTTCCAATTATAAAGTAGCTTATCATGAGTCTTTAAAAGAGCCTTTGACCGAAATTTCTGCAGCTCATGCACTAAATTTAATTCTTTCTGGTAAAATGTACAAAGAAACCTATCAAATGACTAGATCGTTGACTAATGAGAATCGTCGCACCTCTGTCTATCCTTCCTACAAAAAAATACTAGCAGCTAAAGCTCTCTGTTATCCACCTTCGTCAGCTATGATGATAACTGAGACTAGCGCTGAAGTTCAATTGCAAAATTTACTTGACCATACTGTCAGTCGATTATTAAAATCACAAGAAAAGGTAATTGAAACATTAGCGCTGCTCCCAGATCATTTGCATAAAATGAAATTGTTTTTAAAATGGGGCTGCGATGGTTCATCTGGTCAACAATATAAGCAAAAATTTAAGGACGAGAGCAGTTCAGATGCAAACGTATTTTTTACCTCTGTTGTTCCTTTGAGATTGACAACAAAAAATCATAGTAATGGGGAAATAATCGTTTGGAATAATTTAAGACCCTCGTCCCCGCGTCTTTGTAGGCCTATTAGACTTCAATTTCTAAAAAAAACCGTTGTATCTACTCTCGCAGAAAAAGAGTATATTGAAAATCAGATTAAAAATCTTGTACCATTTGATTTAACTGTATCGTCGCGCAATATTCGAGTTAATTACGAACTAGCTTTTACAATGGTAGACGGTAAAGTCAAAAACTCTGTTACTGGAACTGCGTCTGCCATGCGATGTTATATTTGCAAAGCTACATCGAAAAATTTTAATAATTTAGATTTGATGCTGCAAATGAAAATAGAAGAAAGCTATCTTCACTTTGGCATAAGCTCATTACATGCTTGGCTTAGATTTATGGAGTGGCTTTTACATCTTGCGTACAAAAATTTTCAAGAAGGAGATAATAAAAAGTGGCAGGCGCGTTCGGCAGACATGAAACAAAATTGTAGCGACCGAAAAAAAAAATCCAAGATAAATTTTGGAAAGAGCTTGGATTGCGTATTGATATTCCCAAAGCAGGAGCTGGAACCACCAACGACGGTAACACGGCTCGACGTTTTTTTCAAAATGTTTCATTGACTGCTAAAATTTTGCAAATTGATGAAGAATTAATTGTTAATAAATTAATTAATTAATTAATTAATTGTTTTAGTGCACGGCTATGCTATTATTAAAGTAGCTGCTTTACCAATTGGGCAATTATCCGAAGATGCTCAGGAATCAAGAAATAAAGATATAAAAAAGGCTCGTGAAAATTTTGCAAGAAAATCTTCACGTGTTCAAACAATGGAAGATGTTTTCAAAAGACTCCTGGCGTCTTCGGATCCACTAATATCGAGTTTGCAAAAAGTGCGACCTAAAATAAGTGAACCCTTCAGTCCGAAAGTTTTGGAATTACTAGTTTCGTCCTGTGCGTGTACGCCTAATATTAATGATGTCGCTGATGATTCAGATTGACTCTGAATTGTCTGAAAATGAAGCACACTTTGAATCAGATTGAGTTTAAAAACAGTATATTACTTTTTGTAAACTGAGTATAAGGATTAATTTATATGATAATAAACTGATTGTTATTTTTCATTTCAAGATCATTTTCTCATCCTATTATTAAAAAATTATTTAATTTTTCAACTTAAATTAAAATTTTTATAAATCTAACGTTAGATTTGTAATAATTAAGCGACCCTGAAAACCCCCGAGTAACGATTTTCAGATGAATTCGATAAATTTTATAAAAATTTTCAGCCATATTGGATCAGCTATTTTGAATTTTCATAATCTGACGTCAGATTTGTAATCAGCTATCCCGAAAACCCCCGAGTACCGATTTTCAGATAATTTCGATAAATTTTATCAAAATTTTTCGCCATATTGAATCAGCCATTTTGAATTTTAAAAAAGTGATGTCATATTCGTAATCAGCGACCCTAAAAACCCCCGAGTAACAATTTTTAAGCGGATGCTATCATTTTTTAATTTTGCCGTCCGCCATATTGGATCCGCCATTTAGAATTTTCAAAATTTGACGTCAGAATTGTAATCAGCAACCACGAAAACCTCCAAGTAAACAAATTCAACTAGATTAATTCAGAATTGGAATTTTGGCCAGCTTTTTGTCTATTTGGAACCACTGTGCGCCGGGGCCCAAGAAGAAATGAATGCCTGGATCCTTCTATGGCCCATCCCTGGAAGTCACATTCCACCCATGGGATATGCGTGGAAGCCATCCATGACCCATCTAAGTTTTGAAAACTTGCGCCGCAATTTTTCTTGACGATTACAAATTTAATAATTATTTATCCAAACATTACTCGACGTCATTATTCGCCGCCCTGGTTGTCTGGTTGTTATCCCTTAGCAGCACGGTGGTTAGTACTACTGACAACATATGTATTTTAAAATATTCCAGAATAAACGTCCAAGTTTTGTAATAAAAATGATTGTTTCTTCCTTTCTATAGTATCAAAAATATAACTAAACGAAAAAAACCTAAATTATACGAATATTGCATAAATAATGAATATAGTTATAAACAAAAGAAACTAACAAAATGTGACTATTTCAAAAATTGATTGAATTCGCTTGAATTTTGTAACTCGGGGGTTTTTGGGGTCGCTGATTTCGAATCTAAAATCGGTTTTTCAAAATTCAAAATGGCGGATCCAATATGGCGGACGACTATTTCAAAAATTGATTGAAAACGCTTGAATTTTGTAACTCGGAGGTTATTGGGGTCGCTGGTTTCGAATCTGATTTCCGTTTTTCAAAATTCAAAATGGCGGATCCAATATGGCGGACGACTATTTCAAAATTTGATTAAATTCGCTTGAATTTTGTAACTCGGGGATTATTGGGGTCACTGGTTTCGATTCTGATATCCGTTTTTTAAAATTCAAAATGGCAGAAGAGTATTTGAAAAATTGAGTGAGTCGCTTGAATATTGATACTAGTTTGTTTTTGGGTGTCTGATTGGAAATAAAAAAAAATTTTATAAAGAACAAAGGTATCTTATTCTTAGCGTTGCCCAGAATGAACTAACGGCGAGGACTTAACGTCGTTCTTATTATCTTTTCTAGCGTGCTGCAAAGTGCACAGCGTCTAAATGTGCCTAGGTGCACAGGCATGTGAGATGACTCTGACCGCCTTTTTGTGAGAGACACTTTTGGCTTGTGCTGACTTACAGCATTATTTTTCCGTTTTCGACCTCTTGGTTTTGCCAGTTTGTGATCAACTAACTCTGACACGAGATTGAAGTCACAATTTGTTCAAAGTCAGAGGTAATTGCACTCATTGCACTCTCTAGAAAGCTGAGAAAAACAGTCTTTCAAATTAAATAACAAGCTAAGTACGTGACGAGTAAAGTATAAATTTTAGTTCAGATATTGTAAATGATACATTGCACTTTCCGGCATACTCTAAAAAACACTGTTTCATATATTGCATTTTTCATTTCATTGAACAAGGTAAGTTTATAATATATGCGGTAAATATAGACATTTATATTTTGTTCTTTCTGCGAAGTTATTGTACAAGGTAGGTAAATAAATTATGGATATTGAAGTAGAATTAGTAGATATTCCCAGTGACAATGACTCGATTGATAGTTTATGCGATTCAGAAACCGAAAATGATGCGTGCCTTTTTCAAAAAAAGAAAGGTGTAACAGATTGTCCTCTGATTTCAAGTATTATCACTGAAGAAGTACTCGACGAAGAAATGGAGGAAGAAGGAGAAGATGTTGTAGAAGATGGAATTTGGACAAAACGTAGTGTACCAAGAACAGATGTTCCATTCACTAAAAGTTATGGTCCAAATATTGCGGTAAATGCAAAAACACCATCGGACATATTTAGTTGCTTATTTCCCCACAGCCTTGTTGAAAAAATAGTTAAGCAAACAAATTTATATGCTCAACAAAAGAATAGTAAATAGGAACCAGTAAATAAAAGTGAAATACTCATATTTTTGGGAATCAACATTCTGATGGGTGTCAAAAAATTACCGTCATATCGGGATTACTGGTCATCTAATCCTCAATTGCATGATGAATACATAGCTTCTTTGATGACAGTGAATCGGTTCGGTTTCCTTCTTAGTCACTTACACGTAAGTGATAACAGTAAAGAACCAAAAAAAGGAGATCCGAAGTATGATAAATTATATAAGTTGAGACCTGTAATTGAGGCACTTAGCGAGACGTTCAAAACCTGTTGGAAACCGGGAAAATATCAATCAATTGATGAGTCCATGATAAAATTCAAAGGACGAAATATTATGAAACAATACATGCCTGCCAAACCAATAAAACATGGTTATAAGTCTGGGACAAGAGCAGATGAATCTGGCTTCGTATGCGAATTCCAAATATATACTGGAAAAACAGAGTCAACAGAGAAACAATTAGGTGCTCGAGTAATAAAGGATCTAACGCGCGAACTTGTTAGTGGAAACCACCATGTCTATTTTGACAATTTTTTTACGGGGGTAGATCTTTTAGTTAGTTTAAAAAAAGATAATATTTTCGCATGTGGTACCGTTAGATCAAATCGATCAAAATTGCCGAAAAGCCAGAAGCCGGATAAAAGTTTTAAAATAGGAGATTATGAATCTAGAACATCAACCACAGGCCTGCAGTGGATCAAATGGATGGATAAAAAGCCGGTATACTTTTTATCCAATTATCATGATCCTTCTGAAACCACTGTAGTCAATCGTCGGCAAAAGAATGGATCGTTGCTACCCATCAATTGTCCAGTTGTATGTGCTGATTACAACAAGCACATGGGATATGTTGATCATGCTGACAGATTGGTAGCAACATATAAAATTGATCGAAAGTCCAAAAGATGGTGGTTGAGAATTTGAGATTATTTTGGCACTTTGTAGACCTGGCGGTAGTGAATTCTTTCGTCATATACAAAGAACAGAATATTCAACCACCTCTGACATTGAAAGAATTTCGACTTCAACTGGTATCAGAATTAGTTGATCAAAAACTGCGAAAACCAAAAGGTCGAAAACGGAAAAATAAAGCCGTAAGTCAGCACAAGCCAAAAGTGTCTCTCACAAAAAGGCGGTCAGAGTCATCTCACATGCCTGTGCACCTAGACACATTTAGACGCTGTGCACTTTGCAGCACGCGAGAAAAGGTAAAAAGAACGGCTTGGTGTTGCACACAATGCAATGTTCCTCTCTGTTTGTCTTCAGAAAAAAACTGCTTTTCAGATTATCATAAATAGTCCCACAAAAGCAGCAAACGAAAATTTAGTATAATTTAAAAAAAACCACAAAACAACAAAAAAAAACAAAATAAAAAAAACAAACAAAAAAACAACAAAAAAACAAAAAAAAACAAATAATTTAAAAATGAAAAAAAAGTGGAACTAGAAACTCGTCACGTCCTCGCCGTTAGTTCTGGGTAACGCTAAGAACGAGATATTTTTGTTCTTTATAAAAAAAATTTTGTATCCCCAATCAGACACCCAAAAATAAACAAGTATTAATATTCAAGCGACTCACGCAATTTTTCAAATACTTTTCTGCCATTTTGAATGAATTTTGAAAAACGGATATCAGATTCGAAATCAGCGACCCCAAAAACCCCCGAGTTACAAAATTAAAGCGAATTCAATCATTTTTTGAAATAGTCGTCCGCCATATTGGATCCGCCATTTTGAATTTTGAAAAACGGATATCAGATTCGACACCAGCGACACCAAAAACTCCCGTGTTACACAATTCAAGTGAATTCAATCATTTTTTGAAGTAGTCGTCCGCCATATTGGATCCGCCATTTTGAATTTCGGAAAACGGATATCAGATTCGAAATCAGCGACCCTAAAAACCCCCGAGTTACACAATTCAAGTGAATTCAATCATTTTTTGAAATAGTCGTCCGCCATATTGGATCCGCCATTTTGAATTTTAAAAAACCGATTGCATATTCGTAGTCAGCGACCCCAAAATCCCTTGAATTACATGTTTTGGTATTTTTCCCCTGCGATAAAAAATGTGTGCTTCTAAGGGTTATAGGAAACATAACCGAGAGCGTAAATAATACTATTATTAATATTTAAGAGGTAAAATAATATTATTTTTGTTAATTTAATTATTATAATGAAAAAATTTGTATAATTTCTAACCTCCGGAAAAAATATTACAGGGCATAATTCCTTCTAGACGGCGCAGGCGCTACGCGCGCGGACTGGCCGGTTGAGGAACAGGGATCCTTCGTCGGGCAAAACACAGTTGAGAAGGTTGAAAATTGAGTCGTCTATGCGACTAATTTTCTTTTTCACGAACTCGGGAATTTTGTAAAGAAGAGAGTCTTCTTTAGTTTTGTGGGACCACTGAATTGAGACGGCGCAAGTACTACACGTACGGACTGGCCGGTTAAAAAAACAAGATTTTCAAATTGTTCAATATTTAATTAACTGAAACCTCACTCAACACAGCTCGCACTGGACTCTGTTGGTTAGAAGATTCTATTTTATTTTTACGTCCGCCTTTCGTATTATACTAGTTTTTTCGCTGAGTTCTATACGGGGGTCCGACGCGCAGACGGGCTTAGTCTCGGCATTTCCTACTTTCTTGCGATCAACAGATCTGCCAGGCCGTAGCCAGGACAGGTGTTGATCGCTTGAAGAGGAAAATTGTACAGCAGCGATGGAAATTTTGCGACAAGCCTCTACTCCTTGTCTTAATGTCCAAGTGGAATAATTTTGTCGACTAAGGGTTTTTAGAATTAGAAGTAGAAAAAAACCTTCAGGCCCATTGGACGTTGCATTTTGCTGACAATTTTGATTCTCACGACAGTCTCATGAGAACGGAAATGGTCTGAAATTTGATATTTTACTGAAATAGTTTTATAACTTAAGATATAAATTATAATTATATTGTAAAAGAAAGAATTATTTATTTATAATTATAATTGATTTGTAGTTATAAGAGTCTAATATAAATCGTATAAATAACGACTATATTGGTTCTACATTAATATGTTACTGGTATATGTATTTTGTATACATAATTAAACATATACTATACACATATTACATGCAACATAATGTCCACCGGTATTTTGTTGTGAACAAAAGTTACAACAAAATGTTTAGCTATGATCAAATTCGTTTCTGTAAATTTGGAATTGTGCTTGAATCAAAATAAAAGATCATCATAAAGCGTTGAGTCAGCCTCCAAATGCATGTGCATTTGTTATGATATTCTAGTTTCTAAGTTTGTAGGCCCAAAGGGGAAAAAGGAAGGAGAGACAAGGAAAGACAATAGGAGAGACAAGGCAATGAGACTCTTTTCATTTTCAGCATGTGTAGCATGCTTGTATGTGTGCCCGTAACGCGAAGAACTCAAGGGTGTGGTCGTGTTAGATCTTGTAGCCAGCGAAGTCAGTGGATGTGCACGTATACACCTAGGTCGTCTCAATGCACATGTGTGAAATGCATTACCTTTAATTATTTTTAAATAGAGGTTTCTTTTATTATATAAAATTTTAAGTATTAATAATGTTTATAAATTCATGCATATAATTTATAAACAATATTATAAAATATATAGGAATTTATGTTTTATAAATTCTGTCCTATCTTTTGTAGCTTTATTAAGGACATGTTATTCAGTTGTCATATACTACGGGTCTGATTTTTTTTTCGAAAATGATATAAAAAATGTTTAAAAATAATAAAAAAAAAATTAATAATCTTTAAACTTATAAAAAAATGAATAAAAACAATAAAAAACAACGTTTTTTGAACAAAATCTTCTTTTTTATAAATCCACGGAGTTACCGACAGCGTGTCCATTAGTCGCTGCACTGATTCGAGCGCCGCCAATTGGGTCCGTGCGGCTGCTTCTGGAAGTTAGTTTTCAGCTGAAATTTGACCGACGCGACGGATCGTAGAAAGCCACGAAGATTTGTTGAATCTCAAAATAACTTTACAGAAAAATTTTGTAGATGATGATTTCAAGCGTTGTTTAAACAATTTATTGTTGTTATTTATCAACTTGTGACACAAGTCTCTTAGAAAATTGCAGTTTTTTTCTAATTTTGCAATTATCAAGGCAAATTAGTAAAAAATAGAGATAATTAATAAATTAAAAAAATTTGCTGTTGTTTAAACAATTTATTGTTGTTATTTATCAACTTGTGACACAAGTCTCTTAGAAAATTGCAGTTTTTTTCTAATTTTGCAATTATCAAGGCAAATTAGTAAAAAATAGAGATAATTAATAAATTAAAAAAATTTGCAGTTGTTTAAACAATTTATTGTTGTTATTTATCAACTTGTGACACAAGTCTCTTAGAAAATTGAAGTTTTTTTCTAATTTTGCAATTATCAAGGAAAATTAGTAAAAAATGGAGATAATTAATAAATTAAAAAATTTTGCAGTTGTTTAAACAATTTATTCTTGTTATTTATCAACTTGTGACACAAGTCTCTTAGAAAATTGAAGTTTTTTTCTAATTTTGCAATTATCAAGGAAAATTAGTAAAAAATGGAGATAATTAATAAATTAAAAAATTTTGCAGTTGTTTAAACAATTTATTGTTGTTATTTATCAACTTGTGACACAAGTCTCTTAGAAAATTGAAGTTTTTTTCTAATTTTGCAATTATCAAGGCAAATTAGTAAAAAATAGAGATAATTAATAAATTGAAAAAATTTGCAGTTGTTTAAACAATATATTGTTGTTATTTATCAACTTGTGACACAAGTCTCTTAGAAAATTGCAGTTTTTTTCTAATTTTGCAATTATCAAGGCAAATTAGTAAAATATAGAGATAATTAATAAATTTAAAAATTTTGCAGTTGTTTAAGGGGACTTTCTGGTTTAGAATTTCAAAAAAATCGATTTTTTTTTTTTGCTTAAAAATGTTCCTTGGTATCATAGAATTACTGTCCCAAAACGATTTTTAAAAAATATGTACAAAAACAAAAGTTATAACAATATTTATGACGGTATGTATTTCAACAACAATCTACAGTTATCTTATTTACATATTTGGCGTTCCTCTTTTATTGATATTAGCTTGAAACATGTTACTCGAGGGTTTTTGGGGTCGCTGATTACGAATTTGATGTCAGTTTTTGAAAATACAAAATGGCGGATCCAATATGGCGGACGAAAAAATAAAAATTCAACCGGATTTGCTTAAAACTTGCTACTCGGGGGTTTTTGGGGTCGCTGATTACGAATTTGATGTCAGTTTTTGAAAATACAAAATGGCGGATCTAATATGGCGGACAAAGATTAAGAAATTAATTAAATTTAGTTGAAAATGGTTACTTGTGGCCTTTTGAGATTGCTAGTTATGAATATAGGCACAAAACATTAACGTTCTAGGAACGTTTTAAATACATATACACTGAAAAAAAATGCTATAGAATCTAAAGATATGCTATTGCGGGCTGCCAAAAACAGATATTGTTGAATGAATAGCATATGTTCAAAATCTTAAAGCATTGCGTTTGAATCAAATACTTCATTATCAATTTTGAAAGTAATACTGTCGAATTGTTAATATATGCTATTAATTTAACATTATCTTCTTTTGGTAGCTCGCAATAGCATATGCTTTAGATTCAATAGCATTTTTTCAGTGTATATATCCTAAATTCTAATTGGATTTTGATTTAATCGAGTAAAAGTAAAAGAGGGCCGAATTCAGAAGAAAAAGGCATTGGCGGACCGTTTACAACTGTTGACTGAGGTTGAGGATTTACAATATTCACCGGGAATGGCCGATTAATGGTAAGAAAGAAGATATAAAAACTTTATAGATTAAAATTTTAATAAACTTAATTAACTGACAAACATATTTTTCAAAATTTAAGATTAAATTCGTAATT